ACATGACAGGATGGTAGATAGTGTAATCACGGTAAATGATGGAGAAGGTGGTTTTGGCAGCAAGATTTAAAACTCGGATTAACCAGTGATGGAGAAGAGTCATCTCCAGGGGAGGATGTTGTCATAGTCCAGGCAAAGAAATAACCAGTGAGTGCTTGGACCGCAGAATTAACTATGAAGATAAATCAGGAGGAATAATTTTAGAAGATCGGAATGTAAGAACAGCAAGATCGGTCAGCTGTCCGATACAGTTGTCACTAACCGTAAGTGGCTATTGAGCATTTTAAATATGGCTAGTCTGAATGGCACTGATGGGCTATGATGTAAATCGCACAACTGATTTTGAAGACTTAGTATGGAAAAATATTTCGTTAATAGATCCTAAAGTGGTTGCAAGCTGAGATGATAATATTTGGGGTACATTGGGTTAGGCAAAATTTATTATTAAAATTAATTTCACCTGTTCCTTTTTACTTTTTAAAAACATGGCTACTAGAGCATTTAAAATTACACATCTGGTTCACATTACGTGTTTTTGGACAATGTTGCTGGGAGGTCGGTAATACTGGGGTGGCCTCTAGGATACAGAGAAATTGGTACAAGATAGAGTTGTAGAAAAACATCGATAAACCCTTTGGACTACCTTCAATTTGAGTCGGTAATTCGATATTGAGGTGGTGATACTCGTAGATGGAGTACTGTCAGCACTGAGTCAAGTGGCACATTGAGAATGCATTTGGTTGTGACCCGCCGGCCACAGTACACGTCTCCCTTCTCACCCGATACAACTGGGACATTTAGTGGGTTGGTTAATGGAAAAAAACCAGTTAAAGAAGAAAAACAAAAAATGAAGCATACAAGCCCAATTTAAATAGTCTATTTAAATTTAACATAAGCATATGCACATCCATTGGTTGGTTCTTGGTTGTTTTAGGAACAAGGCCTTTATGCAATAATGCTTTCCCTACCGTTATGGTGGTAACGGTATCAGGTTCTTTATGGTAAAGTGACAGGTTTGGGATCAAATCTCCGAGCGGAAGTTTTAGAGATTTTTATAAGTTTTCCTCAGCCCTTCACTGTTTCCTCAACTGCGCCTAATTCCACTTTGAAAATTCACGTGCATCCAAAGCTTTCAACTTTTTTCTACTCTTGTTTATGTGTCTGCCTCTTTAATTAAGGACCCAACCACATGTGGAAGTGGCATGAACATTCTGGTGGCACAGCTGACTGACCTTGATATGCACGCAAGCCAGCGGTGAGAGAACTGTGACAAATGTGAGGAATGAGCAGTGAGGGAAGAAGTGAGACCAACCCCAGCCATGGCCAGGGACATGGGCATCCCCCAGAGCATTTCAGGTGTGAACAGAGAGATGGTTGAGTGGAGACTGGCTGAGAGAATTTCCTCAGTGCTAACAAGGGAAGTCAGACATTGGTGTTTGGAGTTCAGAAGGTAGGAGGAAGGATTCTGAAGCAGGAATACCTGGATGGGGCATTCCAGTGGCCAGTAAGAGGGTACCATGATGGCAGTTTTTCCCGGCAATGGAAGGTTTCTCTTTATGGAGTGCTTTTCTTGTGCCCACAAGCCTTGCGGGCCTTATTTCATGGAATGCTCATAGTGTCCCTCATTTTCAGGTGAAGTAATTGAGCAGTTTTCCAAAACAAGTTGTCCTGGAATTAGAACACTGTTTTGTCAAATTTCAAAACCAGTCTCTGGAATGAGGGTTCCTCCAATCATACTGTGCATCAGAATCACCCTGAGAGGGTGGAGTGGTGGGGTGGGGAGAGCTTATTCAAATACAGATTTCCAAACCCCATCCCCAGAAAATTGGATCCAATTGGTCTGGAATGTGGCTATGCTTACCAGGTGATTCTGATGTAGAAGGTTCATGAAAACTGAGTAACATTACAATATTTCCTCTGTGGGGGACTACAGAGGAGGGCCAGCCATAAATGGAGGGTGTACTGCTGAGTGAAGAATGGAGACTACAAATAGATATAGTGGTTTGTTGGCAGCTCAGACCCACTTCTAAGAGCCAATTGTTAGGGGCACCTGGGCGGCTCAGTGGGTTAAGCGTCTGCCTTCGGCTCAGGTCATGATCCCAGGGTCCTGGGATTGAGCCCACATCGGGCTCCACGCTCAGCGGGGAGCCTGCTTCTCCCTCTCCCTCTGCCTGCCACTCTGCCTACTTGTGTTCTCTCTCTCTGTCAAATAAATAAATAAAATCTTAAAAAAAAAAAAGAGCCAATTGTTAAAATTGAAGAAATTTTATGAGGCATTTATTAAACACAATCATTCTCTTTTTTTAAATACATTACACCATTAGTTTTTGATGTAGTGTTCCATGATTCATTGTTTGCGTATAACACCCATTGCTCCATGCAGAATATGCCCTCTTTAATACCCATCACCAGGCTAACCTATCCTCCCACCCCCCTCCCCTCTAGAACCCCTCAGTTTGTTTCTCGGAGTCCATAGTCTCTCATGGTTCGTCTCCCCCTCCGATTTCCCCCCCCTTCATTCTTCCCTTCCTGCTATCTTCTTCCTTTTTAATTTTTTTTAACATACAATGTATTTTTTGTTTCAGAGGTACAGGTCTGTGATTCATCAGTCTTACACAATTCACAGCGCTCACCATAGCACATACCCTCCCCAGCGTCCATCACCCAGCCACCCCAACCCCCAAGTTTTAATTCCTTTAAACTGATTCGTTGGTGTGTGTGGTATGCCCCCAAATAAGCAAGGAGCTCTATCATCTATCAGATAAGCAGGGATTTTTTTCTAAAAAAATACCTTCCAGAACCATAGCATTTTATTTTAAAGATTTCACCCATTTGAGAGAGAACGTGAGAGAGAGCATGAGCGGGGGGGGGGGGGGGGGGGGGAGGGGCAGAGGGAGAAGCAGACTCCCCGCTGAGCAGGGACCCCCCCCCCCCCCCCCCGCTCTGATGCAGGACTCAATCCCAGGACCCCAAGATCAGGACCTGAGCCGAAGGCAGATGCTCAACCCAGGTGCCCCAAGAATTATAACATTTTAGATCTGAAAAAGACCTTAGAAAACATGTAGGACAGTATTTCTCAAAGTGTGTTTGTCAGTCAAACATCAAAATCAGAAATACCTGGTGTTGCTATTAAAACCTGGAACCTCATTAATATGTGGAATATATCTCAGAACTCCTGTATTGGTGGGGGCTTGGGAAGCTGCACATTTTACAAACTCTACATGATTCTGCTGCACTCAAATGAGTAACCCAGTCAAAACCTTTTGTTTTATACATAAAGGAAACAAAATTCTACGATGCAAAGAGAGTCCCCCTTAAGTGAGTCTACATAGCTATTAAGATTCTATCCACTTAAAAAAAAAAGTAAAAGCAACCCATAAAATTGAAATGTGGGAAAAAATAGAAAGCATACCCTTTGTTTAGAGAGATAGCTAAAGGACAATGCAGGACTTCAATCGATATTATGTTGTTCATGTGTGTAGTTACTAGTCCATATGCCCCACCTAGCCACAAATTAGTGTGGTTGCCTTAAATTGCTAACATGAAAATCTTAACTTTCCACTTCTGAAGTTATTGGTTTTAGCCACTCTGTTTTCTTTTTCTAGGTTTCCAAGGTTGCTCTTTTGGGCATGATTTTAGAAATGTAATTATAACTCTGGTTTTATACTTCTGGACTATGTAATCAAACACAGGCTGGTCATAGTGGAAAATATACAATTCTTAGCTCTGTTACATTAACAAGGAACGTGGCTGGATGCAAATCTAACCAAGTGGCATGTCTTCCTAGTGGCAGCTTCCCCCCCCCCCAAATCCAAAAAAGATGCTGTAGGAAATGTAGACATAGGGGTATGGAACCAGTTTTTCCAGAAACATTTTTCTTTTGGTCCAATAAAATCATTTAAATGTCCTATTCCAGGAGAAAGTTTTTATTCAGTGTGATGCATTGTTAGACAGGTGGAGAAAGAACAAGTTAAGAAAGAAAAAAAGTCTCACGGTGTCCAGTTTTTTTTTTTTTTTTGCTTGGTTGGAGTACTCGATGGATTATTTATTTATTTAGATTTGCACTATTCTTAAATCCAAATGGCAACCTCTTCAGAATAACATTTGTTTCAGAGTTGCTCCAACAATATAAATTTTGTCCAAGGGCTGGGCATTTAAAGCTCTAAATAATTATATACTTTTACAATAACTTTAAGAAGGTTTTGGAGGCTTTATCTCTCTTGATCAGAGTTTTCTTTCTATAACAGGATTTAATCTTTTTATTTTTAAATTTTTTCTTGGAAAAGATTCTTCAGCCCCAATCAAGCGTTCAGATGACTGCAGCCCTGGCCAACATCCTGGTTACGATCTAATAAGAAACTCGAAGCCAGAACTACCCAGATAAACTGCTCCTGAAAGATTTAATCTTAAATCAAACTGAATCCTTTGTCCAGTGCACACCCAGTGTTGTATTTTGTTTTTCCGAGGGTTGCTACAGAAGGAGGTTGGCACAGCACTGCCAAATGACAGCCTTATCATGTTTTGTTTTTCGTTTTTTTCCTGAGAGAATCCAGGAATGTGCATTTAATACAATTAAAGACAGTATCTGCAAAACGATAGAATGTATTTTTATTGTCTTAAACCTCTAAATCAAAGTGCACAATGTTCTGTTATCCAGCCAGACCTTGCAATAAATGCAAGCCCAACTCTTGGGTTTGTGTTTGGACTATCAGTGCAGTCATTAAAGATACATCATAGGGAAAGGGCAAGTGGCTGCCAATAATTCCTTTTTGTTTCTCTCTCTCTCTCTCTCTTTTTTTTCCTGGAATAGTCTCTAATTATTGGTGCATCAAGATGGAAACCCTGGTCGGCTGAGAGCAGATGTTACTTTAAAAGGCTCCCCTAGCAATCCAAGAGCATTTTTCCACGCGCGAAGTCCTGGGTCTTTCAATGACCGCAACGTTCCCAACGCATTCCGTAGCTGTCACTTCACCTGCGTCGTCCGCGGCGCCATTTGGCTCTTGACGTGGCTGCGAGCCGGCCACGCCAGCCGCCCTCCCCGATCCGCACCGAATCCGGCTGGCGCGCGCCGGCCCCCTCCTCGCAGTGGTTTCTCCTGCAGCTCCCCTGGGCTCGGCGGCCAGTAGTGCGGCCCGCCGAGCCGCCGCTTCGCCCCTCTCCTCTGGGTGGCCCCGCGCGCGGCCGGCGCTCAGTCGCCCGGGGAGGTGAGGCGTGCGGAGGCTGCTGCGGAACTTGGCTCCCCGCGCAGCGCCGGCCCGCGGAGTCCCCGAGCCCAGACAAAAGAGGCGGCGGGCGCAGGGAGGCGCGGGCGATGGCCGCGCGAGGAGGCCGGGCGCTGCTGGCGCTGTGCGTGGCCCTGGCCGCCTGCGGGTGGCTGCTGGGGGCCGGAGCCCAGGAGCCCGGGGCGCCCGCGGCGGGCATGAGGCGGCGCCGGCGGCTGCAGCAGGAGGACGGCATCTCCTTCGAGTACCACCGTTACCCCGAGCTGCGCGAGGCGCTGGTGTCCGTGTGGCTGCAGTGCACCGCCATCAGCAGGATCTACACGGTGGGGCGCAGCTTCGAGGGCCGGGAGCTCCTGGTCATCGAGCTGTCCGACAACCCCGGTGTCCATGAGCCTGGTAAGAGCGCTGCACCCTGCCGTCTCCGGGGGCGTCTCGGAGGGCCGCAGAGGCTTGGACGTGGCGGTGGGGGCAGGGGGGAAAAAGGTGGGCCCGGGGGTGCCTTTTGGGAAAGGGCGCCTGGGGTGGAAGGTACAAGTGGAGGGAGGGATGCAGATGCATGAACCTGACCTAGAGCGTTGCGGGTTGCCGGCTTCCCCATCTCTGCGGTCTCCCCCCCACCCAAGCCTTGCGCCCACCTCCAGCCCTTAGTTCACCCTTGGTGAGCATGGGCCCGGGAGGCGGGAGGGGAGCACGCAAATCCGCACGCCCGCAAAACCGGGCGGTCACTCTCACTCTGCTGCGTCGAAGACCAGAGAGAATAATTGGGAGTCCTCAGAGAGGAGGTCGACCTTCCTTGCAGACAAGAGTAGAAAGGTAAGGTGCAGAAGTCAGGAACTTAGAGGAAACGAGGAAGAGTCCTTTCGCATTTGTTTCCTCATTTCCAGAGGACAAGCTTGGGTCCTGCAGGCTCTGCATACCCATCCCTACCTGTATGTGCTTATCAGGTACGCGCACTGCTGTGGGTGCCCCAGCAGCGTGAACGATATCGGCAGCACTGGGTGGTGGTGTGTGCAGACACGTAGGTCTTCCTGCCAGGGTGGAAAAGTGGCCCTGACAGGCATTTCCATTCTGAAACTGCATACGGCCTAAGGAAAAAAGGAGTATCCCATTTTCTTGGCTTTAGCCAGTTGAGATGAGTAGTTTGTGACCGGGTTTTTATTTCAGCTGATGTTCCCATATAGCCGTCTTATGCATCTTCCTTCTGAATGTGTTAAGGCACGTTTTATTTACGTTAAATGCGATTCATTTGGTATTAATAAATGGATTTAAAAAATGTTCTTGGGTCTTTTTTTCATTATGCTTCTGCTCTTTGGAAATGATGTAACTCTTCAAATGATATAAGGCCTGGTCTTCTGATAGTAAAGGTACTGTTAAAATAATCTGGGCTAATAACAGTAGCATAGGATGCCTGATTTTTTTTTTTTTTTAATTACAGAGAAAGCTAGAAAATAGACAAAAAATTCTCAATGTAGGGCCAGAATAGTTTTATGATGATATTTAGGAATCAAACTGGAAAAATATTAAAATAAGTGATGAATAGAGACTCTTTGATCTTCAAATGCAGAGTGTATGGGTTGATCAATAATAAATCTTCAAGCAGGAAACTTTTCTCTTTTTTTTTTTTTTAAAGATTTTATTTATTTATTTGACAGAGAGAGAGCGAGAGCAGGAACACAAGCAGAGGGAGTGGGAGAGGGAGAAGCAGGCTTCCTGCTAAGCAGGGAGCCGGATGTGGGACTCGATCCCAGGACCCTGGGATCATGACCTGAGCCGAAGGCAGACGCTTAACGACTGAGCCACCCAGGCGCCCAAGCAGGAAACTTTTCTTACCTTCAACTAATATGAGGGAAAAGGTTTGTATAAGCTTGTTGTCAGACCCTAAAATGAGATCCTAGAAAACATTTTATGGAGTGAGATCTAGCAGGACTCAGCATGTAGACTTAGAAAGTTTGAAGATTGGTTTCATACTGTTCTCTGAAGATAAAGAAAAATGAAAAATGTGGCGACTCCATCTCAATTATTTCAAATAACCAAAGTCATGGCATCCTAGGCACAGATAAAGCTAATCTAAATATTTGTGATTCTCCTGTTGCCTGCTTACTTAGAACCTTTTGTTGTTCTACTATTAGAGATTGCTCCTCAGAATGTGTTACACTGTTTCGTCAAGATAATGTGAAAGCTAATGTTAACTTTTTGTTGTTTTGTTTCAAGTTAAATAAAATTCTAAAGTGATATTACTGTTAGGACGCAATATGCTTTTGAAGATGAAAACAATAGTTCTTTTACTTCAATACCTGGAATGTATAGTCTTTCAAGATTTGCAGAGTTCTCTTTTAGATTGCAAACTCTGTGAGGGGGGACGACGCCTGCACACATAGCCTGACTCAGGCACACCGCAGGCACTCTATACACATTATGGGAAAAATGGAATCAGTCATTAGCTGAATAAAACAGTGCTTTGAAATAAAATGTTTTATTCCTCATAAAGACAAACATCTACCTCTGCCCCGATTTACATTATGTGCTTTATAGTTCCTTGTTAAATGAAGGGAACTTTAAGGTCATGGTTACTTAATAACAAAATACAAATGTCTATCCATTGTATTTTTTATTTTTTTATTATTATTTTTAAGTAGACTCCATACCCAATATGGGGCTGGAACTCACGACCCCCAGGATCAAGAGTTGCATCCCACTGATTGAGCCAGCCAGGCGCCCCTATCCCTTGTATTTTTATTTATTTTTCATCTTTTTAAGATTTTATTTATTTACCTGAGAGAGAGAGGGAACCAGAGAAAGCATGAGTGGAGGGGCAAAAGAAGAGGGAGAAGCAGACTCCCGCTGAGCAAGGAGCCCCATGCGGGACCCATCCTAGGACCCTGGGATCATGACCTGAGTGGAAGGCAGACGCTTAACCTACTGAGCCAGCCAAGCACCCCTATCCATTGTATTTTTAAAGGTAGAAATAAACTATGATGAACCAACACTAAAAAGCCACACTTTATAAGAGAAGATAAGTAGGTTAGAAATTTCTCCATCACTTTATAAGAGAAGATAAGTAGGTTAGAAATTTTCAGTGAACTAGTGTTAACAAACAAGATTCAACAGTAAATTTTAGAGATCTTATTGGCTCTATTCACCAATTCATGAATGGGTCAGCATCCACTCTAGTAGATAGAAGGGAGCTCCAAGGAGCTGTACAAAATGAAAAACTTTAATAGGCAAAAGGGAGCAGGAACAAGAAAGTTATACTAGGCAAAAAAAGCAGATTGATTATTGTAAGCTTACTTTCCTTTAGGGAATGGCAGGGATCTATCAGGCAGAATCCCTAACTAGTGCTGATCAGGTGATTCCTAAGTGACTGGTTTAAGATTCCATTTCTGGGACAGATAAAACTGCAAGTAAGTTCAGGGCAGGTCTTCGGCAGTAAGTTCTTCGGCTCAGGTCAAGATCCCAGGGTCCTGGGATGGAGCCCCGCATCGGGCTCCCTGCTCGGCGGGAAGCCTGCTTCTCCCTCTCCCCCTCCCCCTGCTTGTGTTCCCTCTCTCGCTGTGTCTCTCTCTGTCAAATAAATAAATAAAATCTTAAAAAAAAAAAAACAAACCTGCAAGTAAGTTCAGTCTCTGATGTGGAGCTTAGCGTAAGTGACTCCACCTTGGGCCTGTTGTCTTATTTCTAAAATTAGTAAATAGGTCTGATTAGTATATAAGTTTGATAGTACTGTATGAATTAACTTTTTAGGAAGTTGGAGAGTATTCACCATCCTTAAATGATTGTCAAATTCCTTCTAGAGTAAAATATTTTAAGAAATGAAAAAGGAACATCCACACTTCTTCTGAGGTAGAAATGGATGCATTCAGTGTTTTTTTGAGCACCCCACGCTCTAGGTGGGCCAAGTTCTATGCACTGTGCAGGATACATAAGCTAGTCCTTGCCCTCTGGGGAACTGAGAAATAGGAATTGGAAGGGCAGTATGAAGGCTGCAAGAACAGTGTGGGAGGACTGGAGAAAGGACACCGGGGATGGTAGGTTATTGAAGACTAGATGACAAGAAGGCAGGAAAAGTGCAGTTACTGGAATTTACCATTGCCAGTGCAGCTTGAACAAATGTATGTTTTAACAGAGGCCCCTGCATCTAGGGGCAGTGTCTTAACTGTTTTTCACCTTGTAAGTATCTGTTTTTTGTTTGCTTGAATTAATATTTCTGATTAAGCTAGTAAGAAATAATATTTGGCCGGCGCCTGGGTGGCTCAGTTGGTTAAGCGACTGCCTTCGGCTCAGGTCATGATCCTGGAGTCCCGGGATCGAGTCCTGCATTGGGCTCCCTGCTCGGCAGGGAGCCTGCTTCTCCCTCTGACCCTCCCGCTTCTCATGTGCTCTTTGTCTCTCTCATTCTCTCTGTCTCAAATAAATAAATAAAATCTTAAAAAAAAAAAAAGAAATAATATTTGGCTTAACAAAATCATTTACTTGATTAAAACTTTGATCAACTTGCCCATAATCATCTTACCTTCCAGTAAGAGAGAGGTGTCAAGTTTATTAGTTTTCTTAATCAAAATTCTTTTACTGGAGATGCCTGGGTGGCTCAGTCGTTTAAGTGTCTGCCTTTGGCTCAGGTCATGATCCCAGGGTCCTGGGAATGAGCCCCGCATTGGGCTCCCTGCTTCTCCCTCTCCCTCTGCTCTCCCCCCACCCATGTTGTGCTCTCTCACTCTCGTTCTGTCTCAGATAAACAAATAAAATCTTCATTAAAAAATTCTTTTTCTGAACTTTAAAAAAAGGTAGCTAATGTCTAAGTATTTAGTTAGCATAATAGAAGAGCTCTCCCAAAACAAAACATCCATACATAAAGCTTTCCCTGTGGTAGACCGGGCAAGTGAGAGGTTTACTTGGTTAAATTGGCAGGTTAGGGATGGAAGGTATTTGTTCACACCACCAGCTCTCTTCCTGAGCAGCAAGAAGTGATCATCATACTTGCATGGTACTAGGCTGTGGCCTGAGCTGAAACTTATCTACTGAAAATGATTTGTTCGGTCAGATAGTCTACATTTGAATTCATCCAAAGGGAAAGAAAATTCCATTTTGAATTGATCTGCCAGGAATATCCATGCCTATTCTGTCCTGGCACCGTAGGAATCAACTTGACTCTAGACTGGCTGAATTCTGGGTCTCAGTTATTATTTTGTATCTCTTGGAGACCTGCAAAATTGGATTGGAGAAGGGTTGTGCGTAGCTGCCATCCTCAGTTAGAAGAACTGCAAGTGGTCTTGGAACCAGTCTCATCTCACACTTTGTGAGTCTGGACCCCTGATGCAGGAGTAGGATGAGGGCTGGCTAAGATTGAGTCTCTGTCAAACTGGGCTCTTGGCTGATTCTAGATGCTCAGATGTGTTCCC